CCAAGAGGAGCCAGGGAGAAAACATTACCTGGGCAGTGGACTGCCTTATCAGCAGTAAACAAAATGCTAGTTTTTTTCTGGTTTTTTTTTTTTTTTTTTTTTTTTCCCCAAAATGCAAAGGGACCCATCAAGACTGTCCAAATTCTAGCCTGTGTTTCAAACAGTTAATTTCCAGCTTGATTTCTGTCACCCCAGCTGTGACACTGCTGCCTTTGGGCAGCACCTCCTGTGAGGCCGGATGAATCCTCGCGGTGCTGGCAGGGAGCAGCCCTCTTGTCTTCCCCAACAATGCATTCCTCAGCGAAATCCAGTCAACTTCTGGAACAAAGAGGGCTTGTCTCAGGCTGGCAAGCTCAGATCAAGTGTTTGCTCTGCTTGCTCAGAGTGCTGCTCTCACACCAACGCTGCCCGGGACCTCCAAGGGAAACTGAAGCAGCAGGTTCTGCAGCTGGGGATACACTTTTGGATTTCTGAGCCTGAATTGGGGATATCAACATCCAGAATTTGGGATAGAAGGTTTGGCTTTGCCAAACAGAGTCATGGAATCGCTGAGGTTGGAAAAGACACACCTTTGCACGGAGGCACAGAGCCCTCACATGAACACAACTTGATTTTCATATCTCGTGCAACAAAGCCCTGCTTGAATCCAGGCTTAGCAATAGAAGGGGTAATCAATGCCAAATTCTTCCAAAATATCTCAGCATCACCAGTCAGTCACTGGGAGGAAATAGAGAATCCACCTCTGAAGAGATGAGAAAAATACAGGGAAAAAAAAGTGACAATCATTGAGACTTGGCAGGCTCTTTAGAACAGCAGCAGTGCAATTAATGTCTACATTACACCCTCTGACTAATCCACTTATTTCAGGAAAAAAAAAAAGAGGGAAAATTTGGTTGGATGAGTACCAGGTGATTCAGGGCAAAAGAGGTGCTCCAAGTTTTATTCTAGGAAATGGAAACAACTCTCACTCCACACAGCCAGGTCACTGACGAGTTTCCTCAGTCAGGAGAGGTTTCATTAAAATGGACTTCTTGTGTCCTGAGTCTGAGAGAGAAGATCTCCTAATATTCACAAGCTGCTGTGTGAATTTTAGTGTCTCCTTAGGTTTTGCCATCTAGATAAAAACAGTCAAAAAAATTAAAAATACCACAGGGAGATTCTAGTGCAATCCTGTTTGAAAAACTTGGTTGTGACTTGGTAAGTCTGATGGAGTTAACTAAGAAAATAAAATTATCAGTGGAGTGAAATGATCTCTAGAGTATATTCCTTTAGTTATACAATTGGAATTTGGTGCAATCAGTGGGGCTTGGGCATTACAGGATTCCTGAGGCAGAACTGGGAGCAGAAGGTTGTGCTCAGCTGCTGAATTCAGCCTGATGTCAATGGATTCTCTGGAATTCCATGGGGAAGCATGGGGAGAAATGAAAGAAAACCAGAAAAATGCTGTTTCTTACCCATACCCTGCAGACCTTAATTAGCTTTTTGAAATCTCAATCTACATGAGGATTTGTTATCAATGACTGAAAAATTGAATCTGCTTGCTGGCTATGAGATGCAGAAACAAAACCATGTTTATTTATACCCAGTTATAAATATTTTTGTGGCAGGTTCCTGGGAAGGAGGAATGAGATGAATGATCTGCTTCATTCTCCAAAATTAGAATAGAAGGATAAACAGGACAGGAAATCCAGCATGCAAACAAGCAAACAAGGACTTTGTTTCTGAGCTTTGCTTCAACCCCAGTTCTGGCCAAGTAGGTGGCTTGGTAGCACTGGGAACAGCATGAAGTCAGGAACCCACAGATCTCATGTAATTATTTAATAAAAAATACACATGTATTTTAAATCAAATTGCTTTTGATCCCTTCTCTTCCCATTAAAGAAACCTTAAGGAGAGTTTCTCAGGGATGTGCAGTTTTGTCAGAGTTCTGAGCACTTTCAGCTCTTTGCTCATTCCCTTCTCCCAGTGGGATGGGGGAGAGAATAGGGGAAAAAATAAAATAAAATAAAATAAAATAAAATAAAATAAAATAAAATAATAAAATAAAATGTCTTGAGCCCCCCAGCCTCCTCACTGGCAGGGCAGCACGAGGAGCTGACAAATCCTTGACTGAGTGTGAGAATTGCTCAGAACCATCAGTGTGTTCTCAACATTATCCTCATCCTAAATCCAAACAGGGCACTGTACCAGCTGCTAGGAAGAAAAGCCAGAAGCAGTGCAGGGTGTGATTCAGTCATTGGGTTGACACTTCTAAGGGATTTTCTCATGGTGCTGCAAGCAAAATCTTTCTTATTGGTGCTGAGATGATGAGTTGAGTGCTGAGTGAACAGGCACATGGTTGAGTCGTGACAGACACACCAGGAGGAAATAAAATAACCCAATACCAAAGTCAGACAGTTGCTCAAAGGAAAAAGCTGCCAAGTGATGGTTGGTGTGTCTTGTCTGAGGGCAGAGGAGGTGACAAAAATAAGCATTCCCCAGAAAGCTCATTCAAAAGAGCTTTAAAAGAAGTGTCCTTCACGTGCTCCTGGTTCTTGACACCCTTGTGTTTGCAGGCTCCAGCCTTCACTGGGAGATTGGCATAACTGATCCCCTACAAACCAAACAAAAAACCAAAACAAAAGGCAGAATAAACAATTTTAGCTTACATTTTGGCTTTAATTCTTTGTATTTTTTTAACTAGGACATGAAAGGCAAGAAATCCCAGGTCTTGCTTTTCATGTTTTCATGCATCAGTGATAAATGTTTATGTGGCATTTGGCTGTTTGCATTTCCAGCATATTTCAGTCTGATTTATAAATGTGCAGAAGACATTCTTAGAGGCTGGGTAAGTCCTGAGAAGCCAAACTCCTCACAACTGCAAAGCATCCAACCACGGAGGGAAAAAAAAATTAAATAGTTTTGTGATCAGCAACCAAAAGTAATAAAAATTGAACAAAACTCTTCCTTCTGGAAAGCAGACATGAAATATCTTTTGCCTCTTGGCTGACATTTGGGTGAGAGCTGAAAAGTCTCCTGGCTGAGACTCAATCTCTTGGATGACATTTGTGTTTTAGCCTGGTTTAGAATGTATGTTAATGGGAAGGCTAAAAATTGATATAACAAACCTTTAGAATTGATATAACAAGCCTTTAAGTTTCAGCCTTAAAGACTGCAAACAAAACACCTTTAACAGCCCAGCATATTTTGAATTTGGATTTTTTCAATCTAGAGAAGTTAAAACTTAATGGAAAATATATTAATCAATGCTCAAAATAATTAGAGTATTGTATAACCACAAATCCAGTTGCTGTAGTAAGATAAATTTTTACATTTCCTTTCCAGAGATGATCCATTCTCACCAAATGAAATCTTCCTTCCTTTCAATAAACCTTGAAATATTTCTTGATGCCTCACTCACATTTTCACTCCAGCTCACAAAATTATGAGGCATTAGATAAATGGTTTTAGAATGATGTGAGAGGAGAATTAAAGAGGAGAAAAATGATAAAGTAATTGTGCTAAACAGCTTGTGGCATGAAAGTTGAAATTGTTTCTTAATCCTGTAAGAGGTGTTAGGATTACAAAGCTGATTTAGGCATTGTAGAAGAATTTATTGTAGATTGCAGGATTGCAGCTTTATTGTAGATAAAGAAGTCACAGCTTCCCACAAATGGCACATGTGAGACTGTCATCAGTGAAGCATTTTGGTGGCTCATAATGTGTAAGGTTTGCCCTGCATTCATGCAGTGAGTGATGCTGACCTTTGCTCTGGCATTTTCCCATGTGAAAGCAGCTCCTTCAGTGCCAGCCTTGCAGGAAAACCATCAAGAACAGAAACAACAACTGCCAGGAGGGTGACAGCACCAACCACCAGTGTGAGGGAATTGTCAGCAGCAGGGGGAAGATATGGAAATATTTATAATTATAATATTTATAATCATACATTTACTATAATTACATATTTAATATAACATATAACAGTTATAATTTTATTTTATAACATGTTAAAATAATTTTTATATTAAAATATCTAGAAGTCCCCTGTGTAGTGTTTCAGAAGCAGGGGCTCAGACCATCACTTGGAATTTTTAATCAAACAGACCACACTCTTCAACACAGTAAAACATTTGTATTTTAAGCACAGAGACATTAATTTGAGAAACAGAAGAGATTTATTGCTTTGTAAATATTCCTTCCTTTGATTAAAAACTACACTGCTCACAGAACAGATTAATTTTAGCTTGGAAATCTCTGCATTTTATAAATAAGCACAGACCCATCATTGTTTCAATGAGAAATATAGCACTAAAACCAATACTCAGAGTAATTAGAATATGGTATAGCCACAATTCTGGCTGCTGGAAGAGCCCAGCCCTATGAGTGAAAGGTTTTGGGGTTTGATCTCAGCTTATTGAAGGTCAAGGCACAAAGAGCTCCAGTGTTAAAGGATGGCTCCCAGATCAAAGTCAGAAATAAGCAAACTCACAGATTCATTGCTTTCAACTATTTGGACAGGCTTCATATTAGCAGGGATGACAACTCAACTGAGTAAACTTCATAAGCAGAAAACAATTGAGAGAATTAAATATTTCTTAAGAGAGCTGGGAGTTTGCTCCCAGCTGGCTGTCATGGAATCAGGGGATCATTTAGGTCAGAAAAGACCTTTGAGGTTATCGAATCCTATCATTAAACTAGCACAGATAAGTCCACCAATAAACCATATCCCCAAGTGCCTTCAAATCCACAATCAGACTGGAGCTAATTAGCACAATTCAAGGAGTCATAGCACTAAAAAGGGTTACAGGGAACTCTCCTTTGGGACAGCCAGGGAAGTTACACTTTTTAAAAACACTAGTGAAAGCAGAAGCTTGCAAGCTGTGGATCTCTTCCTTTTTATAGCAAAGTTGGCAAAAGCAGATTTCAGTGAGAGGCGACAGAGCTGTGGCTTTTCTTGAATCCCGTTGGTCACCCTAGAGCAAACGTGAGAGAAATTTATTCGTCTTTCCCGGTGTTCCCACTCGGAGCATCCCCTCCTCGGAGCTGAAGGGGCCCAACCACCACATCCACTTTTTCCTCAGCAGAGCTGGTGTCTCTCTTGGCCCTGGAGCTGCAGCCCCGGTAGCAGTGGGAGGAGTAGTCCCCGAGCCTGCAGACCAGCATCTGGCACTTCAGGAACACCGACGGGTGCCGGCTCATGAACTCGAAGGCGTTAAACTTGAACCGAGCAAAGTGGCTGGAAGGGGAGTAGTACGTGGCATAGGAAGAATCTCTAGGACACCTAGAAAGGAGCAAAAGAAGGGAATTAGTCTTCACGGATGTGCAAAATTAAAATTCAAATGATTCGATTCATTATGATGAATTCCTGAAAAATTTGGATTAAAACTGAATTATATCATAGTCAGGTACTAGGAAAGCAATGGGATAAAAATGTAACCTTCATAGCATAGTATGGACTTTAAAAATATAGAACTTCTTAAAGTACTATGAAGCAGCTGGAGGGTTGGCAACTTTTCTTCTTTTTCCAAAAGAAGGACACTTTAAGTGACGAAGAGGGAATAACAGACTGTTATTAATGTCAGTGTTATACAAGGCATAAAAAATTAGTCTAATGCTTGACCTGGTTTTACTAAAATATTTAACTCCCAGGATGACAATTCCTACTGCCAGTTTTCACTGGGCCATCTACTTTTCTCCCACTACTTCAAATTTTGTTCACAGGACAAAGATGGAGTAAGTGAAATGAAAGTAAGGTCTAAATATAATTTCTTATTTCTAAACTCATACTGCAGAAATAAAAAAATCAAAGACTACTTTTCACCGTCTGTTGATGGCAAGTTCTAACCCCATTCCAATTGGAAAATAAATTTGGACAACAGGTGTGCTTTCAGCTTTGAAGAAAACTCTTACCCATTCCTGACTAAGTAATAGGCCAGCGTGTTAAAATCGCGAGGGTCAGGTGATGCCACACACGTGTCCACAACCACCTTCAGGTTTGGGTCCGAGCTGTGAAGACAGGCTTGGAGGTAGAGGTTTTGGTTGAGGTCGATGTAGTAGGGAGAGCCGCGCACTTGGCGCCGGAACGCTGGGGAATCGTAGAAGGTGATGTTCATGTTGTATCTTCCAAACTGGTACTCGTCCACATCCACCGTGTCCTCAGCAGCGTACACCACCTGCTGCCAGCTCTTCCTCAGCATTTTGCAGCTGACATGCAAGTTGATGTTCTTTCTCCTCTTGATTACGTACCCGGAAGATGCGACCCTGATGGTGTTGGAGTAGTTGATTGTGTCGTTGTTCTCCTGTTTAAGGATGCAATTTAAAAATCAGGAACTGCGCTTTTGTCACGTTCCATCTAAGTCTTGCCAAGCTTAGATATGCAATTGAGTGCCCAAACCAGGGAGTGTACCTCTTGTACTGTCCCACAGCCGCTGTAGGGGATGTTGAATACAACCTCCTGTGAGGTGACTGTCGGTCTGCAGCGGTTGTTGTTCAGCGTGACCCTCTGTGCTGAGTAGCCCTGGGACTGGAGGTAGTCTCTGCTGATCACTACGTGCATGTAGTCTGGCAAGCACTGAATGGCTGGTAGAACAGGAAGGTACAATATATGTGTGACTTTAGGAATTTGGTAATGATTAGAGGCAGTTTTTTTTCTGAATTTAGAAGTCAGGCAGTTCCCACCCTAACCCACTCTATTTCACGCATTCAATTTCCACAATAATCTTTACATTTACACAGATATTTATTCTGCAAAGAAAAGCAATAAATAGGCTTGTCTGTTGAGAAACACTGGCCAGGAACTTACTGGTGTTGTGACCTGCTGGAATGGAGGAGTAGTGAGCCTGAAACCCTCTGAAGGAGTATCTGGAATCACTGTGGAAGCGAACACTCATCATGTTTGAAGAGGACACGTATGTGGGAAAGGAACCAGAACAGAATCTCCCAAGAAGAGGGGAAGAGTGGAGAGGTCCATCATAGACTTCAATGTAGTCCTGCTGGCATGTCCCGCTTTGCATCCTGGTAGAAAAACATCAGCACTTTGTCAAATCCATTTCAGAAACTCTGTTTTCACTGCCTAACATGTGATAAAGTCTTTCAGTTTTTAAAGTTCTCTCAGCACAAATTTAATTTGGCTTCTATGCAGCTTTAGCAGAAAATTGTGAGTAAAAAATGCAACATCAATCCAGATTTTGACCTAGTCTTCCAACTGTGGATGTTACTGGAAGTGTCTTTAAAATTGGGAAGGTTGGTTGTTTCAGATAAGATCTCAAACTCCTCAAGTAAGTTTTGACTAATATTTGCCAGGGAATCAATGTTTTACTTACACAATATCTCTAAATGTGAGCGTTACACGGAAATTGTTTTCCACTTGTATTTCCCACACGCAGTCAGCATCGTTTGGATAATTTCCAGGATAGTTGGGACTCTCCAGCACCCCAGAGGAATCTGAGACTGAGCCACCACAAAAATAAGGTGCTGCAGAAAGAAATGGGAAAGAATTTACTTACAGTAATCTCTGCAAAAGTGTACTTGAGCTGTATGTGCCTCATCCACAGCTATGAAAAGCAGGTCCCCTGCTGACTGCAGGTGGTAAACTATAGGACCTGAATCAAAACTAATATTTGTTTTTGCTTTAGGTTTGCTTTCATGTTGTATTTGGAATTCCCTCAGGGGTGGATTTCCATCCATGGTGTCAGACTACCCTCTTCAGGCTGAGCTGGTAACACCTGGATGATTTCTGCCCCTTTTAGGGTTGAGGTCAATTCTGGGAGGTGTCATGACAGTTGAAATGGAAACACCTTCCTCAACAGACAGCCTCTCATCAGTTACTCTGCTGCTTCTCTTTATTCCCCTAAGGTCTTTGGAGGGTAAATACGTTGGAATTTTTCTAGAAAACTGCAATTTTCTGGTCTCAGACTGAAATAAGCATTTCAAGCTGCTGTGAAAAGTTGTAAGTACAAATATGGCTGCAAAAAAAGCTTTAGTGTTCCTGCCAGCATGAATGACATAATTTTTGTCACAGCTAATCCTAAAAGCAACTTTGTAGGAAGGTGGGCACAACCTTTGAATAGAAATGCTACAAGATGCGACATTTAAAGATGAAAATCCATTTTGTATTCTGCTTGAAAAAGATCACTCACACTTACAGCAATATTGTCATAGAGACAAAAGACAAATTTACAGAAATGTGCAACAGGGAGACAGACAGACCACAAATTAGCAAGGTGAGAAGAGCCACAGCAGAGCATTACCTGGTGGAGGTGTTGAGGTGGCCACTGGAGCTGTGGGCATGAAGGAAGAAGAGAGACATGTGAGAAATGCAGTTTATGATAAAGGAACTGGGGCCTGGACATGGCCTCACCTTGAGGCACAGAGTGATAAAATGGGGATCACAGGCAGTCAGGGAGGTAGAAACAGCAGGTGAGGAACAGAGGGCCATGAGCTCCACAGGAGACCAAGTTGCCTCCACTACAAATGATCATATTCTCATTTCTTCTGATCAGGTGCCAAGCCCCAGAGTATGTCTAGGAAACAGCTCTGGTACGACCCATGCAGGATTTGAAGGGGTGAAGGCAGATTGATCCCTGGGCATGATGCTCCTGGTTGCAGTGAGAGGCAATCCCTCTGCAAAGAGCTCCATTAAACCAGGAGAATTCCCAGACTCAAAGCTTCAGAATTCCCAGACTCAAAGCACAGCTGCCCCATTTGCCAGCTCTTCTCCATGCTCTCTTTGCATCCTCACTTTAGTTTTGGGTGGTCTAACTGGAGGGCCCAGGGCTGGGAGAATCCCTGCAGGACAATGAGCTCTGGTGAGGGATATCAGGAGCAGAGGGGAGAGCAGTGAGTGAGAGAGGACAGGGTTACCTGGTGTGCTGCTCATTGCTGTGGTAGCTGTTGTGGTTGTGGTGGTCAGCAGTGCTGGGCTGGACTCCTCGGCTGTGGCAGGAGTTGGTGCTGTGGTGGTCATTTCCAGAGGGGTGGATGTCTCTGTAAATTGGGGAGGTGATGAGTTCAATGGCAATGGCCATGAACCGCAGAGCTGGAGGCGTAATGCCAGGAGAGAGGGTGGAGCTCTTTCCTTCCTTGCCCCCATCCTGGCACCAGCCGGCCCTCTCCCCAGTCCTGCCCCTGCCCCATTCTCCATAATGAACAATCCCTCAATCCACAGCTTTGTCCCATCAGTGGATGCCAGCACTAGGAATTGTGGAGATCCGGCTGTTCCCTGTCTGTGCAAGAATGGGGATTTTGGATGACCTGGGCTTGAGTCCCAGGCAGCAGAACACCCAGTCCTCACCTCTGCCCTGGCCTGACCCAAAACCCTGTTAGAATGACATGTAAAAGAGCCAGAGTTCTCTGCTGGGCACTCACCTGCACAGATGACACTGGCATCCTCCACGTGCCCGCAGTTGTGCATGCCCCATCCATTGTGCCGGCACATCTGGAGGGAGGGCTCGTCCCCGCGGCACTGCACGTCGTCCAGGAAGATGCGGCCGGAGCCCGGGCCAAAGCGAGCGTTGTGTGGGGCATCCAGGGGCTGGCCACAGCCCAGCTGGCGGCACAGCACCTGGGCATCCCGCAGGTCCCACTGGTCGTCACACACCGTGCCCCACGAGCTGCCGTCGTACAGCTCCACGCGGCCCTCGCAGCCGTTCCTGCCGCCCGACAGCCGCACGCTGGGCCCTGGCACACGGAACAAGGCAGGGTTTGGGTCCCTCCAACCCAGCATGCACAATCCCAACTACCTCCCCTACTGTTTTGCAGATTTTGCCTCTGTGACTTTGATCTCAGGTGTTGCAGATCTAGGGAGATCAGGGAAGGGCAGTGACTGAGCAAACATCACTGGAATACAGATGGCAGATGTGACCTCCTCTGGCCTTGCTGCTGGTGTCCTGATTGCAATCCCTGGGGACAGACATGCTCAAGAGCCTGGCTCATGTGCAGAACAGCCTTTTGCTACCCTTGCATTTGTCCCATTCACTGAGGGGGACATTCACGCAGCCTGGAGATGACAGGGGAAGAGGGACCAGTGTTGCGGTGTGATGTCATGGCTTGCCTCAGTTACCCCAGTCCTTCCCCAGGTGTCAGTCACCTCTCCTTTCCCCCACCCCGACCCCTGCTGAATACTGTCTATCAACCCAGAAATTCCAGAGGAGCATCAAGTGATTGGGCAGATTCAAAGGATGCTCTCCATCACTGGAGGCCATTGGCCCATCCAGGTGTCCCTTTCCCCTGAGGCCTCCTTCCCCTGTACCTGGATTGATGGTCCCTGTGTTCCCTCCTCCTCTCCCCTGGGTAAAAGGATGAGCACACCATGTAGCTGGGAGTCCTTGTGGAGCTGTTGCTACATTCAGGGGCCATGTGGCTCAGAATAAAAACTCTGGATTAAACCCTCGATGAGGACTGACTCCTTCCTTCACCATCGCCTTAAAAGGTTTCTCCAGCACAGGGAGGCCTGCGGAGTGACCCTTTTCTACCAGTAAGCTCCAGCCCAGAACCATCAGAGCTCAGGTATGCATGGGCTTGTCCCACCATGCTCAGCTGGGGCTCATACCACGCCTGAGTGTCCCTGGGGTGAAAACACCACAGTTGCTGCTATTTGGTTCAGCAGCAGGAGCCAGAAAAGCCAAGGCACATCCCATTCAGTGATATTGTAAAAACCAATAGACAGCAGCATTGCACTGACCAGGAACAGCCCTGCTGGACACCCCTCTTCTCTTCGTGCCATACTGGGGCTGGCTTTAAAAGTGAGCCTAGTCTGGGTGAGGTGGACTTACCTGTTGTGAGCGGCCATTGAGGAGGAGGGGTTGGCTGGGTAGCTGCAACAAAGAACAGGGAGTGAATAAATGGGCGGCAAATACAGCTGGATTGTAACAATGGATTGACATGGACATGGACATGGACATGAAAACCCAGGCTGTAGGATGGAAAGGGGAAGAGAGCATGGAGTTCTGTCCAGCCATTCCCCCATCCAGGCACCAGTCTGGGCTGAGGAAAGACTCTGACAATGGAGATGGCACATGTGCCCTGTCTAGGCAGCTGCTTGGGGCTGCAATATCTGCCTGGGGACAGAGGTGCTCAAGACCCTGTGTGATGTGCAGAAAAGCCCCTTGCCAGCATTGCATGTGGCCCATTTATTGATCGGGACTCTCATGCAGCCTGGAGATTGCAGGGGAATAGGGGAACAGCAGCCTTGGACCGGCCAAGATGAGCCCTGTTAGAGTCCCCTCTTCTATTATCATGCCAGGCTGAGGCTGCATTTAAAAGTGGGCCAAAGCTGTGAGAGGTGGACTTACCTGTTGTGAGCGGCCATTGAGGAGGAGGGGTTGTCTGGGTGGCTGCAACAGAGAACAGGTAGTGAACAAATGGGTAGCAAATACAGCTGGATTGCAGCAATGGATTGACATGGATGTGAACATGGATATGGACATGGACGTGGACCTGGACGTGGATGTGGATGTGGACATGGACAAGAAAATTCAGGCTATAGGATGGAAAGGGGAAGAGAACGTGGAATTCTGTCCAGCCTTTCCCCCATCCAGACACACGGCTGACATGTTTCCAGTCCTGCTCCCTCTACCCGATTCTACAATCTCTCAATCTGCTTTTTGCCACCTCGTCACTCAGCACCAGCTCTGCCAAGAGAAGTCAGCATGCCTGCCTTCAGTGGAGGACCCTCATGCACACGGAGACCTCTCCTGAATGTCAAAATACTTAAGGCAGCAGCTTTGTTTCCTCCACCCCCCTCCCCAGTGCCAGAGCATGTCTAGGAAATAGTTCTGGTACTACCCATGCAGGCCATGAGGCAATTAAGGCAGAATGAATTTTTTTCTCCTGGTTGCAGTGGGAGGTAATCCCTCTGCAGAGTTTCATTAAACCATGAACAGCTACAAAGTTCCTGGACTGAAAGCACAGCTGTCCCATTTGCCAGCTCTCACCCATGCTCTGTTTGCATCCTCACTTTAGTTTTGGGTGGTCTAACTGGAGAGGCCCAGGGCTGGGAGACTCCCAGCAGGGCAATCAATTCTGGCAAGGACGATGAGTAGCAGAGGGGAGAGCAGTGAGTGAGAGAGGACAGGGTTACCTGGTGTGCTGCTCATTGCTGTGGTAGCTGTTGTGGTTGTGGTGGTCAGCAGTGCTGGGCTGGACTCCTCGGCTGTGGCAGGAGTTGGTGCTGTGGTGGTCATTTCCAGAGGGGTGGATGTCTCTGTAAATTGGGGAGGTGATGAGTTCAATGGCAATGGCCATGAACAGCAGAGCTGGAGGCGTAATGCAGGAGAGAGGGTGGAGGTCTTTCCTTCCTTGTCCCCAGCTGGCCCTCTCCCCAGTCCTGCCCCATCCTTGCTAAAGAACAATCCCTCAATCCACAGCTTTGTCCCATCATGGATGCCACCAGTAGGAATTGTGGAGATCCGGCTGTTCCCTGTCTGTGCAAGAATGGGGACTTTGGATGGCATGGTCTTGAGTCCCAGGCAGCAAAACACCCAGTCCTCACCTCTGCCCTGGCCTGACCCAAAACCCTGTTAGAATGATATGTAAAAGAGCCAGAGTTCTCTGCTGGGCACTCACCTGCACAGATGACACTGGCATCCTCCACGTGCCCGCAGTTGTGCATGCCCCATCCATTGTGCCGGCACATCTGGAGGGAGGGCTCGTCCCCGCGGCACTGCACGTCGTCCAGGAAGATGCGGCCGGAGCCCGGGCCAAAGCGAGCGTTGTGTGGGGCATCCAGGGGCTGGCCACAGCCCAGCTGGCGGCACAGCACCTGGGCATCCCGCAGGTCCCACTGGTCGTCACACACCGTGCCCCACGAGCTGCCGTCGTACAGCTCCACGCGGCCCTCGCAGCCGTTCCTGCCGCCCGACAGCCGCACGCTGGGCCCTGGCACACGGAACAAGGCAACAACATCAGGTTTCCTCCAGCTCTGCACCCGTTCCCCCAAACTTCCCTACTGCTTGGCAGGTTTTGCTACAGTGATCATGTACTGGATTAGTGTAGACCCAAATGGATTTGTAACCGAGGATAGGCTCTAGGCATACAGACAGCAGTCTAGCCCTGTCCAGGGACCTATTGGTGTCCTGTTGGAGCTGCCTGGTTGCAGAAGTCATGGATTCGCTGAGTCATTTCCAGCAAAACTCTTTGCAACCTTTGGGAGCAAACCAACACCGATGGGGACCCTTTAAGCACCCTGGAGTTGTCATGGGCCAAGGGGATCAGCAGCCTTGCACTGAGCAGAATCAGCACTGTTGGACTCCCCTTTTCTTATCTTGTGCCTGGCTGGGCCTCACTTTGAAACTGGGTATAAGATGGCTGAGCAGGACCTACCTGTTGTGAGTGGCCATTGAGTAGGAGTGGTTGGATTGGCAGCTGCAAAGAAGAAGAGGGAGTGAACAAAAACGTAATAAGGCTTGTGGCAGTGTATGGACTTGAATGTGAACATGGTCATGAACATGGACATGAAAGTTCAGGCTGTAGTACTAAAGAGTGAAGAGAGCTTGGGTCCTGCCTTTTTCCCCATCCGTATATGAGCCAGACCTGTCATCAGTCCAGCCAATCCTCACCAAAGAACAATTCCACCCTCCGGCTCTTTACCCCCTCATATAGCCTCTAAAGCAGGAAGTGTGGAAAACCCAGTGTGCCCTCTCTGTGTAAAAATGCATTGCACAGGATTCAGCCCCTGGTGGCAGAAGACCCCTGGTGACAGCATCTGCCCTGGCCCTACCGAGGGAGCTCAGCTTGGCTGTTCCCAGAAAACCCAGAACACACTTGGAGTGACATGCAAAAGGCCATGCACCTGCACAGATGACACTGGCATCCTCCACGTGCCCGCAGTTGTGCACGCCCCAGCCGTTGTGCCGGCACATCTGGAGGGAGGGCTCATCCCCGCGGCACTGCACGTCGTCCAGGAAGATGCGGCCGGAGCCCGGGCCAAAGTGAGCATTTTGTGGGGCATCCACGGGCTGGCCACAGCCCAGCTGGCGGCACAGCACCTGGGCATCCCGCAGGTCCCACTGGTCATCACACACCGTGCCCCACGAGCTGCCGTCGTACAGCTCCACGCGGCCCTCGCAGCTGTTCCGGCCGCCCGACAGCCGCACGCTGGGCCCTGGCACACAGAACAAGGCACGACGTCAGGTTTCTGACACCCCAGCATCCACAGCCCACACCTCCCCTAATGTTTTGGAGATTTGGCCAGACTGACTTCAATTTGAGGTGGTGCAAACCTAAAGAGACCAAGAAAGGTGAGTGAGGGAGCAAAGACCCCAGGCGCATGGAAGGCTGATGCTTAATGAGCAAGGATCTGCTGGGAAATCCCATGAGAAAAGCTGGGGGGTCCTGGGAGCTGCTGGGGGCATTTGCCAAAAAGCCATTTTTACACACTATGATCATGCGACCTCCCCCCATACCACTCATACATCTTGCAGGCGTATGGGCCCTGGCAGGGTATCCACAAGGAACTGGCCACCTCTGCTTGATGGCTGAACAGTAACAGCCATGACCTGGCATCAGGACAGATATTTATCTTTTGGGCTAGGCTGGCAAGCACATGGGCTTGAGAGAAGGGATTGCTCCCATCCTCTTGGTACTTGCTTCCCCACAGCCAGGAGCCATGGAGCGTCTGGCAGACCAGGGCTTGGACTCAGCACCACTGCAGCTGCCATTCTGCTGAGGCTCAGATCCTCCCTGGCAGAAGCCCTCAAATGACAAGACTCTTTGCTAAGGCAGAAGGGACCAGCAGCATTGCAGTGAGCAGGCTCAGCGCAGCAGGCTCCTTCTCTTCTCCTCTTGTGCCAGGGTGGGGCTCACTATAAAATTGGAGATATGCTGGATGGGAAGGAATTACCTGTTGTGTACGGCCATTGAGCAGGAGGGGTTGGATTGGCAGCTGCAAGGAAAAAGAGGAAGTGTATGAAAGAGTCCTAAAGGCAGCAAACTTGTGGCAGAGGATGGACATGGACATGGACATGGACATGGCATGAATGTGGACATGGCATGGACGTGGACATGGACTTGGAAATGCTAGGCTCAAGGAATAAAGGGATGAAAGGGCATGGAACTCCTGCCATTGACCTATCCAGACACCAGCCTGACACGTCCCGGGTACAGCCCATGCCATGATCCCACCAACCTACTCTTTGCCACCACATGGAGCACCTACACCTGTGAGGCTGGAGAGCCTGTTCTGACCTCTCTGTGCAAAAATGGGGATTTTGCATGACACACATTTCAGCACCAGACAGCAGAAAACCCCAGGTTGTCCTCTCTTCCATGACACTTTGCATGGTTGCTTCCCATGAAGGACACCAGAACCCATCTGGTGTGAGCTGCTGGAGAGCTGATGGTCTCTGCTGGGCACGCACCTGCACAGATGACACTGGCATCCTCCACGTGCCTGCAGTTGTGCACGCCCCAGCCGTTGTGCCGGCACATCTGGAGGGAGGGCTCGTCCCCGCGGCACTGCACGTCGTCCAGGAAGATGCGGCCGGAGCCCGGGCCAAAGTGTGCAGTGTCCAGCGCAGCCACGGGCTGGCCACAGCCCAGCTGGTGGCACACCACCTGGGCATCCCGCAGGTCCCACTGGTCGTCACACACCGTGCCCCACGAGCTGCCGTCGTACAGCTCCACGCGGCCCTCGCAGCCGTTCCTGCCGCCCGACAGCCGCACGCTGGGCCCTGGCACACAGAACAGGGCAGGGATTGGGGTCTCTCCAAGTCAAAATCCACAGTCCTCCCCACCTCCCCTACTGTTTTGGCGATTTGGTCACAGTGGCCATAGTCTGTGGTGGTGCAGACTATGAAGAGTAGGAGAGGACAGTGGCTGAGGAAAGACTCTGAGTATGGAGATGGCGCATGTGCCCTGTCCAGGCAGCTGCTTGGGGCTGCAAAATCTGCCTGGGGACAGAGGAGCTCAAGACCCTGTGTGATGTGCAGAAATGCTCTTTGCTAGCCTTGCATGTGGCCCATTCATGGAGGGGGACTCTCATGCAGCCTGGAGATTGCAGGGGATTAATGGAATAGCAGCCTTGCACCAACCAGGATCAAACCTGTTGGACACCCCTCTTCTATTATCATGTCAAGTTGGGGCTGGCTTTAAAACTGGACCTAAGTGGGTGAGGTGGACTTACCTGTTGTGAGCGGCCATTGAGGAGGAGGGGTTGGCTGGGTAGCTGCAACAAAGAACAGGGAGTGAATAAATGGGCAGCAAATACAGCTGGATTGTAAAAATGGATTGACATGGATGTGAACATGGACATGGATGTGGATGTCGATGTGACATGAAAATCCAGGCTGTAGGATAGAAAGGGGAAGAGAGCATGGAGTTCTGTCCAGCCATTCCCCCATCCAAGCACCAGTCTGGTGTGCTCCCAGTCCTGCTCCATCTATCCCACTCTACCATCTCTCAATCTGCTTTTTGCCCCAGGAGCCATGGAGTGTCTGGCAGACCAGGGCTTGGACTCAGCACCACTGCAGCTGCCATTCTGCTGAGGCTCAGATCCTCCCTGGCAGAAGCCCTCAAATGACAAGACTCTTTGCTAAGGCAGAAGGGACCAGCAGCATTGCAGTGAGCAGGCTCAGCGCAGCAGGCTCCTTCTCTTCTCCTCTTGTGCCAGGGTGGGGCTCACTATAAAATTGGAGATATGCTGGATGGGAAGGAATTACCTGTTGTGTACGGCCATTGAGCAGGAGGGGTTGGATTGGCAGCTGCAAGGAAAAAGAGGAAGTGTATGAAAGAGTCCTAAAGGCAGCAAACTTGTGGCAGAGGATGGACATGGACATGGACATGGACATGGCATGAATGTGGACATGGCATGGACGTGGACATGTGCTTGGAAATGCTAGGCTCAAGGAATAAAGGGATGAAAGGGCATGGAACTCCTGCCATTGAGCTATCCAGACACCAGCCTGACATGTCCCAGGTACAGCCCATGCCATGATCCCACCAACCTACTCTTTGCCACCACATGGAGCACCTACACCTGTGAGGCTGGAGAGCCTGTTCTGACCTCTCTGTGCAAAAATGGGGATTTTGCATGACACACATTTCAGCACCAGACAGCAGAAAACCCCAGGTTGTCCTCTCTTCCATGACACTTTGCATGGTTGCTTCCCATGAAGGACACCAGAACCCATCTGGTGTGAGCTGCTGGAGAGCTGATGGTCTCTGCTGGGCACGCACCTGCACAGATGACACTGGCATCCTCCACGTGCCCGCAGTTGTGCACGCCCCAGCCGTTGTGCCGGCACATCTGGAGGGAGGGCTCGTCCCCGCGGCACTGCACGTCGTCCAGGAAGATGCGGCCGGAGCCCGGGCCAAAGTGAGCATTTTGCGGGGCATCCACGGGCTGGCCACAGCCCAGCTGGCGGCACAGCACCTGGGCATCCCGCAGGTCCCACTGGTCGTCACACACCGTGCCCCACGAGCTGCCGTCGTACAGCTCCACGCGGCCCTCGCAGCCGTTCCTGCCGCCCGACAGCCGCACGCTGGGCCCTGGCACACGGAAAAAAGCACAAGGACAAGCTCATGCCAGCCCAGCACTCTGCTCTGCCCACATGGGCCACTGCAACAGGGCTGCTGCAAGGCCAGGCATGCAGCTGGGGGGCTGGAATTACCTGTGGAGTATGGCCTGGATGTGGTGGGCGCTGGAGCTGTGGATGCAAGGAAGAATTTGGTGTCAATGACAAAGGTTCCAAACAGATCAGCACAAGTCATGCAGATGAGTGTAGTGCATTTTCTAGGTGCCCCTGTCCTGTGATTCCTACAACATCCTGCAGAGCTCTTTGACTCATCTCAAATCACCATCCTGACTTTGCTGTTTCACACACTGAACAGTGAGTGAGAGTGGACAGGGTTACCTGGTGGACTCCCTTCCCCTCTTGCAATCCATGCTAAAGTCGTCGTCTCTTCTGAGGTGGTTGTCTCTGCTGAGGTGGTTGTCTCTTCTGAGGTGGTTGTATCTGCTGAGGTGGTTGTCTCTGCTGAGGTTGTTGTCTCTGCTGAGGTGGTTGTGTCTGCTGAGGTGGGTGGCTCTGCTGAGGTTGTGGTCATCTCTGCTAAGGTGGTTGTCTCTACTGAGGTGGTTGTCGTCTCTGCTGAGGTGGTTGTGTCTGCTGAGGTGGTCGTCTCTGCTATGAGGGCTGTTTCCTCTATCTTCTGCTCTATCATGGGCATCCCTGCTAAGGGAGGTAATTCTTACAGCAGCCACAGCATTTGGTATGATAGGCAAGGATGTATGATTAATGGTGGTAGAGAGGGTGAAGCTCTGTCTAGTCATTTCCAATAGAGACACCAGCCCAAAGTGCCCTGAATCTTTCCCCAGCCTCCCAGCTCTGTTCCCCCTCTGTCCTGCTCTTTGCCACCTCTCTGAAACCCTATTCCTGCAGGCCAGGAGAGTCTGCTGTGCTCTCTTTGTGCAAACAGGGCTTTTTCTTGGCACATGTTCAGCTCACCAAGCAACAGAAAGCACCAAGGTTGCTGCTTTGCCCCACATCTTCCAAGAGAGGTCAGCATGTCTACTTCCAAGGGAGGGCACCAAAATCCACCAGTGGGACATGTGCCAGGGGTTAGAGTCACTCAGGAAAGAGATCAGGAGCATTAAGGAGACCAATGAGTAAGAGATGACAGGGTTACCTGGTGTGCTCTCGTCTTCTTTCATAGCTGTCTCTGAGGTGCTCAACAATGGTGAGGTTATCATCCTTGTGAATGTGGTCGTCTCCGGTAAGGTGGTCATCTCTGCTGAGGTGGACATCACTGCTGAGCTGGACATCACTGCTGAGGTGGACATCTCTGGTGTGGCACTGGATCCCACTGTGGTGGTCATCTCTGCTGAGGTGGACATCTCTGGTGTGCTGGTGGGTAGTGCTGCGCTGGTCGGAGATGTTGGGCTGGGCATTCCTGCTAAAGAGGTCATTTGTGCAATGTCAGTGGACATGGGAATGGGCGTGAAAAGCAGAGCTGGACAAATAATGGGGGAAGGGAGCATGGAACCCTCTCCTGTCATTTTGGGAGTCTCCCTGCAGTGCAGTCAGGTCTGGGAAGGAAGACCAGGGGCACTAAAGAGAACAGTGAGTGACAGTGGGCAGGATTACCTGTTGTGCTCTCCTCCACTGTGGTGTCCAGTCTCACTGTGGTGATCATGTCAGTCAGTGAGTGCAACAGCGGTAGGGCAGAGGTCTCTGGTACAGCAGACAACCCTTCTGGGAAGGTCGTTTGCCATGAGTTGGGTGTGACCTCTAGGGTTGTCATTGGCACTGTGGTGGCCATCTCCCCAGGGGACATTGTCTCCTCTGTGAAGACTGTTGATGCTGACATTGATGTCTCTCCTGGAGACGTCATTGGTTCTATGGGTGTTGTCCCTTCTGTGGATGTTGTCTCCAGCGCTGAATATGTTGTATATGTTGATGTTGGCTCTGCTTGTTTTGAATCAGACTCTTCTGTGAAAAAAAAAAGAAGAAAACCACCCCACACATGAGCACTGTGCAATGGATATGTCTGTGTGGTAGCTACAAGCACAAATCCTCAAGGATGAAGTGAAATCAAGAGCAATTACTCTGATGGGATAGTCCTTCTCATCTAGGGTCAATGGAGAGACTAGAGGTGGGTAACAGCCAATTTAAAATTTATCTTGGAAGTGGTATTTCCAAATGGTAAGCAGGGTAAGGTTCAGGGGTGACATCTACTCCCAGCCCCAGGACTCCACTACTCCACAGGCTCCTAGGGAGGGGGGAGCTGTGGGGCTGCTGGCAGCAGCAGGGCTTGGACCTGTCCCCATTGTGAATGCCCTTCTGCAGAGGATCAGGACATCCCCAGGAGCAGTTTGGGCAGTGGTCTTGGGATGATGCTTGGTGCAAGGGCAGGAGTGGGCCAGGCTGAATCATCTGTTGGATACAACCAGCTCGTAGAAGGCACTGGAGCTATGAATGCAGGCAAGAAATAAATGGCATTTTAAAAGGCTCTGAACACACCACACATAGATTAATACAGGTCTGGTAGCAATTTTTATTCTTTTCTTCTAAGTGAAAAACAGTGGTGTAGTTAGCACTTTTTTCCAGCATGGATTCAGCTCTCCAGGCTGTTACTCCCTAAGGAAACATGGAAAACTGCAATATAGATACAAAACACCTGAACAGTCTGATGTCATCAGCCATGTCTCAGTTCATGATGATCAGTTGTTAATACGTGAGAAAATAAGATACAAACAACTCACATTCTCCTAAAAATAGTATGAAAGTAAAAGGAACACAGCAAAGTGAAAGAGTAGTCCAAATGAATGGATATTTGCAAAGGAAAAAGGCATTAATGGACCTGAATGAAGGAAGACTTGAAAAATATGGAAACAATCCAAAGTGAGTTGTGAGCTATGACAATCTGAGCTGTGATTGTGAAATTATTATTGCCCATAATAAATCCATTAAGAATTCACCTAACCCCCTTCCTCCCTGATAAACTTTGCCTATCAGATACAGCTTTGCCTCTAATTTTGAACTGTTTCCTTATTGCCACTGCCAGGTGATTAGATGGAATAATTGTCCTGCATATCAGCAATGCATATCTGATCCTTGGGGTTTTTAATTGTTTTGCATGGATGAGCAAGCACAGTTTTTACATAATGAGAAAAACACGAGTTTTGCAGGGTCAGTGGAGTGAAAGAACAAGACTAGGGGGAGGAAAAAATGTGGGAGTACCTGAACAGACAACAGAAGCATCTTCATAGTGGGCACAGTTGTGAATCCTCCACCCGGTGTGATTGCAGCGCAGCAAGGACACCTCATTTCCACTGCACCTCACGTTGTCCAGCACGATGTCCCCTGAGCCTTGCCCAAAGTAGGCACTTCCTAGAGCTGCAATGGCCCTGCCACACCCCAGCTGCCTGCACACAACCTGGGCATCCGCGAGGTCCCAGAAGTCGTCACAAACCGTCCCCGACTGTCCTCGGTAGTAGATCTCAACACGACCCTCACATCGGTGCCTTCCGTTCACCAGATGGATGTAGGGAGCTTTGGGAGAGAGGGCATGGGCACAAAACGGTCAGGGAAATAGGCTGGAAGGGACTGGAAGGAGCATCTATTCTGCCTTCTTCCCCTATTGTCCCTAGAAGGTGTTGCCCAGCCCATTATTAAGTGCCTGTGAGGACAGAGGTGATTTGTTCCTTTTTTATTCCTCTCTTCCAGTTCTCAAAATCAGCCACCTGTGTTTTATGCAAGATCCCTGCAGCAAAGTTAGGCAGCAGGCTAAGTACAAGTGGTTTAAGCAAGAAAAGAAATTTTTGGGATAAATTTGAGGACCGAGAGTCCACACGTCACCAAATCCAATAGCTTATAAGAGTAACTTTAGTGGAAGAATTCCACCAAATGTTCTTCAGAATAGATGGTGGTCTCAACAGAATTATAAAGATTTTAATAGGAGTTCAGTGGCTTTGTTTCTTATGTACCAGTAAAATGTTATTACATTTTGAAATAAAGAAATAACCTATCCTGTATACAGCTGATTACTGCATTCATTCAGGTAAAGCCCATCTACTTTTCAGTTTTTTATGTCTTGTTTAGACATTGTGGTGTGACCAGCATGAAAATCCTGATTTTAGAGATCCATTTTTGATGAATAAGTTTATTAAAGGCTTTACTGTCAAGTGTAAGCAAGCAAATAAATGTTGTAACTTTGGATTTGCAGTATTTACACTCTGGAAATCAAAAGTGCAGCTGCACTTGTTATATTTTACATTGTTGCCAAGTATATATTTACCTTATTATTAAACACTAAGTCATCCAAAGCAAAACAAATTTCTAAAGTTAACACCTCCAGGATTTCTTCACTGCTCCTAATTCTTTGCTATTGATCCAGAAGTACAGTCAAGATGGTGACCAAACTAAATTTGCCTTGACTTGTATGATTTTCAAAGGGCAAAGCTATAAAAGTGCCCCTTGACTTATATCTGACTTGTTCCTTCAATATCCACTTGAACACACATTTTTGAACCCTACTCAGAGGGTTTTTGAGAAATGAAACAGCAAACCTGGCAAAAAGTCAGAGTGGGATTAGGAAATGAAAGCCAACCTAAGCCAGTTTTATTTGCTTTCATTCAAGGTCTGCCACCACTGTGAGAGCATAACCATCAACTGGGGATGAAATTGGATAGGATGAATCCTTCCTCACACTTCAAAGGTATCAAAAAGACAAAAGCCTGTGATTATACAAATACAGCAAATACTCTGCTCTGGCACACAGAGGCAGAGAAGAACCAGAGCAGCCAGAGTGAGATGAGTTATCACCAGAAAAGCAGGAGACAGATGGAGAGAATTGATGAGGTGAATGGTGGCAATATAAATTATCATCACGAAGCTTAAATAATTCATTAGAAAAGTCATCAGCAATTATTCTAAGATATACACAGAACTATTAATTCAAAGTCACCCAAACCACTCAGGAGACAGAAAGTAATCATGGAAGGCAAAATTCTGTGATCATAAAAAAAGTTGAACTAAAAGTATTTAATCTCTCATAATTTTTAGATGTCCATCATTTAACCACAGTGCTAGAGTGTGAAAACCTAACTTCATGTTATATTTTGTTAAATTGTACATTATACCAGAAGAACCAAATAATACAAGCACTATTAAATATATAGCATATGTGTGCACTCATATACTCTGGAATCAAATACGCATGGAAAATAAGTAAAGAAAATAAGAATAAAATAAGTAAATAAATAATATTTCCATGATTTTTAGATCAGATTTCTAGAACTGGAAGAATACCTCATTCATGACATACTCACAGACACAACTCTTGCAATGATACAAGGCACTAAGTTGAGTAGGACCCTGTGGCAGCAAAATGAACTCCACAAAATCGTTCAATTCATTTTTATCATCCACTCTAATGATTAGTTCATAATTTTAGTAGAACAAAACTCTGTTCTATCCCTTAATTTCCAGTGTTTTGCCCAAACCAATACCAGTCTGAATTTAATTTCTGCTCTTGGAATCAACAGAGAGGAGTCCAAACAGTCTTTATAATTTTTTTTATGTGCTCTCAACAAGTCCAAGTCTTTTACCTGTTTTGGCCTCCAGAAGTGCTGGACCCAACAAGAGAAGCCATGTCAAAATCATGGTGGTACCCATCTCACCAGGTGTTCTTGGTAAAGAGGACCTCACAATATATAGTCTATTTCTGAAGGGGAGTGGCTCTCCAGGTCTCTTTTTCTTCAGCAGAACAATAAAACAACCACAGCCCTCTAATCTGAAACAAACATATGTTTGATTTGTTATTTAATATTTTGTAACTTCCTGGGTTTTGCAAAAAGACAATATCTCAAGAGTAACATTTTCCATTGCCTGGAAGGAACTATTTATGCTACCATAGGTTTCACAATCATCTCATTGTACCAAAAAAAAGAGAGCTCCTGTCCAAAGATACCTTTCAATCCTGGCTGATGCATCTCAGCATTTTTCTTTCATGAGGAGGTTCCTGGTCAGGTATTGGGTTGGTGGTGGAATCTTGAAACTTAAATGGGTTTCTTCCAGCAAAATAGCAAGAGACCCTTGCCAGCTAATGTGGCAGGTCTTCTTGGGGAGCCATAAATGTCCTAAAGCTTCAGCAGGCTTTAAATAAAATAAGATCAGACCTGGTGGCCCTGTTTAAGTATAACTGGGGGTCTCTGAAGAACCTTGCAGCTGAAGTCAACAGCTCCAGCCCCAGTACAAACCAATTATTTTGGGGCACATTTAAGTACAAGCCAAAATTCCAGTCGAAATTCACTGACAGACAGATTGCAAGGAAATGTCAGAGAATCAGGGTCAACTGATAACTTTTTGTGCAAACACTGTGGGAAAAAAATCAGTGGATTTCATGCATAGTGAAGGAAATTACATAGATTGAAACTAATTTTGTTCTAAAATTTCATTTGATCCTTTGAACCAAAAATTGGGAAAAATAGTCCTGATTTCTTCAGATTAAGAAAACATCTTAATATATTCCTTGTTTAATTTTACATAGTGACAATAACAGCTGTATCATTCTTTGAAGAATGTATCCAAGGTTTTTCCACAATATGAAATAATGCTCAATTCTCATTCATCACTCTCTTGCCAGAGTGGTTACTTTCCTCTGTTTCTGTGTTTCTAACAATTTAACAAGAAACTCTGATGATCATCTGAACACTGAAGAGTCAGAACACTGTTCTCCACCTCATCCCTACCTCCACAGCCATCATGTCTTGCATGGAATCATCACCAGTTAAAACTGTTGCCACATATGAATTTATTGCCTCCAGGGACAGCCATCAAGCAGGAAGACCAAACCCTGGGGGGAAAAGAGAATGATCTAAAACATCTTTCCACAAAGGCCAATATCATTGGAATGGAAGAAGGAAGTGAAAAATACAAGAGGCCAAAGACAACTTTGGAAGCCTTGAAAGTGAACATTCAGAATGGTAAATATGTTTCTTCTTTATCCAAACAACCATATTTGCACATGAATGAGGATATGTACACAACACCTGGTATTCACTATTCATATTCTGGTTTTGACACCCTGACAAGAATGAAAAATCCAGTTTATTTGACTGGCCAATCAAACACTGCAATCAGTGAAGCAAGAGTGAGTGATGGATCACAGTTCTTCTCCAAACCCTTGTAATAACTGAAAAAGGGTGAGGAGGAAGGGGAACACAAAAGGGATTCCCAGCTGGTTCAAGTGCAAAAAAAAGTCTTAAACTGCCCAGGTAAAAGATGAAGAATGATTGTTTGATTGACTGATTAGTTCTTCATTACCTTCTTCAAAAATAAATTACACATTTCAAAAATCTATTTATTTCTAGAGATCTTTATTATCAGACAATCTCTGCACAATGGAAATAGATAAATATTTTGTTTTAATTAAGCTTAGTGCAAATACCATACAGTATTTCACCCTTCCCACTGCCTAGATAAATCTCTTGCAGTAACATATTTTTGTTCTCAAGGTCTTCTTCTGTCAGGCTGAGGTATTTCCCAGCACATCACTCTGAATGAAGCGACACTAAGCCTTGAAAATACCCTTTCTTCTGCTGACAATTGTGAGGGCACTTTGCAAAAATACAGGGTTTTTAAAGGTTTTTAAAAAATGGAACCAGTGAAAGGACAAACAAGATTAATCAGCTTTCACCCATGATTATAGGAAAGTATCTACACTGGAATAAGGATATCCACAGCCTTCTCCACAAGGAATGATAGTCTGAATCCAGGCAGGAGGGTTTGTGGTAGAGAGATCACTCACAAGGCATGTGACCCTTTCCTCCACATCAGACCCAGTTTTCTTTAATTCTGCATTTCTATAATGCTTGTGGATCAAGGGAGATAGAAAGAAATGAGGAGTCTGAGGCATCTACCACCTAAACAGTTTGGCAACACTTTCTGCAGCAATATTTAATATGGAAACCATATATTTAATATGGAAACCATATATTTAATATGGAACTTGGCAATTCTATCTTGTATTTTTATCCAGCCTTGGTTTTTCTCCATCTGGAAGCCCAGACAGGCTACGGGAAAACTCAGCTCTGAACAGCACAGGGGTGCTGAGGATTGGAGACACCAGGATCTAGGCCTGGGGTCTTTCTTCTTGTCTGCTGAGAATAATGCTGAGAGAATAGGAGAAGTGGAAAAAAGTGCCATCAAGCTGTATCTTGCAAGATAGTGCTTGTCTGCTGAAAATAATGCTGAGAGAATAGAAGTGGAAAAAAGTGCCATCAAGCTGTATCTTCCAAGATAGTGTGGTAGCAACACCACAGCAGCAGGAAGAAGGAGAATACAGCAGGTCTGGGAAGGGAGAGGGGAAGGTCCTGTTCTACAGAGTTAGGAAAGCCCAGCTCCAGGGGAGTCCTTGCTGTGCTGAGCAGATGGCTGGATTCCTCTGAGCCTGGACAAGAGAACAGGTGAAGGCAGATCAGCCTTCTGAGGTGCTCTGCCTTCCAAAGGTGGCTGCAGGCACAGCGGGTAGGAGAGCCCTAAATCCTGGTTCCTCCAGTGTGGAAAAAC